AGCAGTGGCGGCGTTTCACAAAACCATAGGGTATGGCGGTGGGGGGTGGGGGTCACAGTTTTGATAAATAAAAAATCCAACGGCACAACACTAAGCACTGAAATATAGGAAAAAATATAGAAAGGGATAACGTTTAAACGTCGTCAGAGTTGGTATTGTGGCTTTATCAGACACTTGCACTTAACATTTTATGAAAATCAAGATCAAATGGAGTTAGTTTTTGACCAGTGAATGACGGAAATCTGTGTTTTGTCTGTCATTAGAACAGCTGTATCTGTATCAGCAAGTGCATCGCATTAAATGCTTTCATCAACTTACAGGTTATAACTTTTCTATTCAAGTTTTATTTAAGTTTTTCTTGTCTAATACACTTGGCCAAAATATCATGAAACGATAAAGCGCTATGTGCAAAGGATATTTAAAACGTAGGCTACAAAAGTATATGGCTACAACCAGACGTCAAAAGCTAAGACTCTTCTCCGCTCTTCAAACACACAAAAACATTGACCTTTATAGACATAGTGTTTGAATAAACAAAACGCTGTACTTTTTCAAACATCACGGTTATTTATTTACCCTTACATTGCGAACAAGCGGAGGTCTGTCTCCAGGCTGTGCGTGGCGCGTCAATCTGAATGGAGTTATGAGGTTTCGCTGACGGTTTGAGAATGGCGTTACGAGCTTTAGTGACAAGCTTTACTGAAAGTTTAAACATTGGTTGGCCTTATGTTTGCGTGTAACAGGCAAATTAATTCACTTTGTCTGTTGCTTTAATGAGTAATAACGGTTTAGTAGATTGAATACGAAAAGAGGCAATTGTTTTTTTCTCTATTGTGAATGCAAATGAATGGCCTTTTGTTCTCACAGCATAAATCGGGCTGTGAGTGAGTTTGTAAGTGGATCTATTAAGATTTTCTTTTGAGTAGAGTACAATTCTTTTTTTTATAGACCAAGACCACAGGCTGTGCCAACATACTCTGGATTAAAGGTTTCATCTGAATGGTTCAGTAAACCTCTCAAAGCCACCTGCTTCCATCATGTCAGGAAGATATGATCATTTTGCTACCAAATCACACCAACTCACCCCTCACTGTTTTACATGCCCCATTACACATGCTGAATGCCAACCAGTACATTGCCCCATCTCCATACTGTCCTAAACTCTCACACAAATGTGCTGCTATTGTTTACAGCAGCTTCAGTTTGTGTCTCCGCCGTGGAGCTCGTGTGTCAGTGTCATGTTCTCTCTCAGCCAGGACACAGACGCTGTATTGTTGTGATTTTGGCAGAGGGATGTCCCTTATTTAAGAGCAGACAAGTTTAAGGAACAGTTGAACCACTCAGTAACCACAGAATAGTTTGAGTGAAATGAGACCCCTTAAATGTGCTCCCATAAGAAATCAGCCTGAACTTTTCTTAAGCAATTTTGTGTTTTGCAGATTCGATGTGAATGTATGTTATTTCTTTTGTTTTTCCTCTGCCCTTTCACCTGAGGGGCCATATACGCTGTGCAAATACCTTTCCTCTGAAGTAGGTAGACCTTTGAGCACGTTTTTTGCAATATCCCCTTAGTTATCAAATGCATGTTTTCTTTAGGAAGTTGGCAAATATGAACTACATGCGTTCAATGAACGAAGTGTTCTTTTTTTTTTATGAATTGATTTTAAAGCATTGATTTTTCAACTGGTTTTGCGTCAGTACATTGGACGCCGTTTGACCCATCACAGTACCAGGATGGTTTATTTAAAAAGAAAAAAAAGTTAACAAAATGTTCCTAAACATGAGAATTTAATAGTATCCCCATGGACTGCATAGTTCAAACAGCAAGTAAAATTATTAACATGACATGGGATGAATAGAGAAATCAAAAATGTATGTCTAATACATAATGAAGTACGAACTTTGGGTCAAATGGTGTTTTAGGAATGCATGTTATATTGTTACACACTCTCAGGAAAAAAAGGTACAAAAGCTGTCACTGGGGCGGTACCTTTTCAAAAGGTACACTTTTGTAAATTTTAGGTAATATGTACACTTTAGGTACTAATATGGACTCTTTAGATACAAAGGTGTGCCTTTTGAAAAGGTACCGCCCCAGTGACAGCTTTTGTACCTTTTTTTCTGAGAGTGCAGTATTAGTATTTGCCAACATAAGATATTTGAATGTACATGTCCAGTTTTCTTAATTTTAGATAATTTAGTAACGATGTTAAAGGAATTAGTTCACCGAAAATCAAAAAGCTGCTGAAAATGTACTCGCCCTCAGGCCATCCAAAATGTAGACGAGTTTGTTTCTTCATTGGAACAGACTTGGAGAAATTTAGCATTACATCACTTGCTCACCAATGGATCCTCTGCAGTGAATAGGTGCCGAGTCCAAACAGCTGATAAAAACATCATACAAGTAATCCACATCTGTTTCCTAAATGCATCTTATTGATCTTCTTGTTTTTTGTTTTTTTTTTCCCACTCGGATCAGTCGGATGTATGTCACAATACGGAAATCACATTCTTTTTCATTGTGACTTCAAATGTAATCTTCAACAAATCTCAAAATAAATATCCATGTTTATTCGGTGAGTTGCTGTGTTGTGGTGCCTAAATTCACTTGTTGCATTTAAAATGAGTCAAAATAGCATAATTCAATATAATATGCTATTTTAACATATGCTATTATAGTTGTATTTTATTATATGCATTTAACTTTTTTTTTTTTTTTTTTTTTTTTTTACAGTGTTAAACATATAGAAATTCTCATTGAGTGTTTGTTACTGTGCAGTTAGTAGTTGTCTTTGAATATAAGTGAGAGCACACTGGATGCACTGATGATTTTTGCCTCGTGATACCTGAATAGTAGTAGATTAGCCAAGTGAGCCATTTTAATTTTGATTGCGCACACATCATGTTTCGATATTAGTCATGCGCTTTCATTCGATTTTTAACTTAAATCTCCTTTTATTGTCTGTTTCATATGCTATTCTGCCTTTGTTTCCTGTCTCCTCACAGTCTCTCTGATCCTTCAGTGTTTCCCACTGAGTTTAATCAGCACTGCTGTTGTTTCAGATGTTCAGTCTCGGCCTTTTAAGCTGTGTGCATAGGCAATATGATATTGTGTTTTGTTCAGTTTGGCCCTGTGGGCACTAGACTGTATTCATGTTTTGCAGCGATATGTGGATATACTTGAAATACAGTTTTTTTTTTTTTTTTTTTAAAAGACAGCTTTTAGGATCTTCTCACAGAGTAGAGGCCAGTATTGCCCAATTGCTTGTTGATAGTTTTTTGGTTTGTCGTCACATTTTGCAGCACTCATTTGTACTATATCAGGCTTGTTTTCTTGTTGTCTCATGCATATTTATCCCTGACCTCACTTTCCCTTTAGTTTGAGCATTGACTCTTATCTCCATATAAGCAGTAGCTCGGCTCCTGTGAGAAACACTGCAAGGCTACTAATCATTTTGGTTCTTTAGAAATGCAGATAACACTCAGTAGAACTAAAAATTAGCTTTTTGTAACACGTCTATCTTTGCTCTCGCTTACTAGATGCTGCTACAGGTGGGAGGAAAGCGCTCTGCCCTGGGCCTGTTGGCCATCAGGAGGGTGTGGAGTATGACCCGCTCCGCCCATACCGCACCCCAGACACTGGAATACAAACCCATCAAAAAGGTCATGGTGGCCAACAGAGGTGCGTCAGTGTTCAGAATAGCCTGCGAACATATTGCATACTGCATGCTGTGCTGTATATACTATGTGTATACTAAGCTTAATATAAAAAAATATGTGATACAGTTATTGAAACATTGATTTGACATTCACAAATTTTTGAGTATATACATTAATGGACATTTTTAGTATATATTTTTAATGTATATTTTTCTAACAACATGAATATATGTATTTTTGCTTCTTGTTATTAGACGGAATTTTGATGTCAGTGCATTTCTTAAAATAGCAGTATAGATGCCTTTAACTGCAGAAATCATAAAGGCAGTATGCTATTTGTGTCTCAGTCTCTCTGTCCTTCCTCAGGTATAAAAACACATGGCATGAATGAATTGTATACTCATGAGTTGTATTTAATAAAATGCTTTTTGCAGGAGAGATTGCCATCCGGGTGTTCAGGGCCTGCACAGAGCTGGGGATCCGCACAGTGGCCGTCTACTCTGAGCAGGACACGGGCCAGATGCACAGACAAAAGGCAGATGAAGCTTACCTCATCGGGAAGGGGCTGCCACCTGTAGCAGCCTACCTACATATACCAGACATCATCAAAGTGGCCAAGGTCAGACTTTGCACCTGAGTGGTTTTCTGTAAATCTTTTGCACCATAATTCAGATTTCTACATGCCATTTTTCACTGGCCCCAAACACAAAAAAGGATACATTTACATTTGTAATGTTATATTTGCAATTATAATATGACATTTCTAATTTAAAATGTATATATATTTTTTTACATTTACACTACCATTCAAAAGTCTGGGGTGTGTGAAAAAAATGTTTGCAAAAAATTTCTTATTCTCAACAAGGCTGCTGCTTCTTTTTTTTTTTTTAAAAGAAACTGTAATATTGTGAAATATTACTACAATTAAAAATACCTTTTTTCTATTTTAATCAGCAGCCATTACTCCAATCTTCAGTGTCACATGATGCTTTAGAAATAATTCTAATATGCTGATTTGGTGCTCAGGAAACAATTTAAATAATATATATATATATATTTGTTATTATTATTATGCAATATTGTTTTCTTTACAAATAAATGTTGCTGAAATAGCTGGAAATGATACAAATATTATAATTATGTAGCAGCAAGACAACAATATATTATGTAAATAAAGTTACATAAATTATATTATTGAATGATTTGTAATTTTCGACCCATTCTTACTGATGCTTCCAAAACTCTCACAATTAATTTTTGCAGTTTCAACAAAAAGTCATCTACAATTGTCAGCCAGCGAGGTAATTTTGTTAGAATTGGCAAATAGATGTCTCAGAAAACCATATGTTTGAGTTTTGCAGGGCAAAGGGTTCAGAGTCTGATACCAAGAAGAGATGGTAATTTAGCCGTAAAATAATCATTGACAGGGAGTCGTTCTCCCAAATCTCATTTTCTGATTAAATGCCTCAGGCAACAATCAATGGACCATCAGTCAGTCAATGGCTTAATCAATAAATAAATCAATGGCTTTAAGGGCTTGTCAGTTTAACACTATGCCTTATGTGTCTTAGAAAATGACCCATGTTGTTGTTAAGCACCTGAAACATTCCTAATCTCTCGCCGTGACTTGTTTAGAGAATTAAATTGGCTAACCTTGAATACTGGCTTATAAACAAAACATTTCAGTCAGTTGGGGAAGTTGGGCTGTATTCTTGGAGCCACTACTGCCTTTTAGCTGCTTACAGAAAGAGCTGTTTCTACAACATTTTATAAGGATTTCTTGATGAATAGAAAGTTCAGCAGAACAGCATTTATTTGAAATGGAAATCTTTCACTTTTGATCAATACAACGCATCCTTACTGAATAAAAGTATTTATTTAGAAAAAAAAAAAAAACTACTGATGACCCCAGAATTTTGAACGGTAGTGTATTTGAATCTGTCTTTTTGTGTCATCTCTTATCATTCTCAAATATAAATGACAAGGTGACGGTATCACAGTCATTTGAATTGGTATTACAGGAATTCACTGTGACAGAATACTTGTGCTGGCAAATGGTGATATTTTGCAGTCTGTGCCTGGCAGGAGAATGACGTGGATGCCATCCACCCAGGTTACGGCTTCCTGTCAGAACGAGCAGATTTTGCCCAGGCGTGCGTGGATGCTGGGGTACGTTTTATCGGCCCCACCCCAGACGTGGTGCGCAAGATGGGGGACAAAATTGAGGCCCGTTCCATTGCCATCAGTGCAGGTGAAGCATTCATCATCTGATCTCCTCGGGGAACATCATTCTGTCCTCTCTCTTATCACTTTATATCAACAGCTGTGTCGCAGAGCAGAGTACAGCAGCACCTGTCCACTTTTTCAGCGGCATTTCCTGAAGTATTTTTTTCCCTAGGGGGTTTTTAAAAAGTCTTTGCTAAGGAAATTGAACCAAACCAACTAGCTATGAGATGAAAAATTTGTCTTTTTGTCAGATTTTCAAATATTTTTTGCTTCAGATCAAAGGTACAAGAGGGAATTACTGTGCACTAATGAGGGAATTACTTTGAGGGAAAGAACTGTAATCCCATGAAGCATTATGAATGACGTAATCAAAATAAAAACAACATAGAAATATAAAACTGTTATAGATATAATTTTATTGCAAAATATGCAAAACAATGTGTGTGTGTGTGTGTACTAATGAGGGAATTACTTTGAGGGAAAGAACTGTAATCCCATGAAGCATTATGAATGACGTAATCAAAATAAAAACAACATAGAAATATAAAACTGTTATAGATATAATTTTATTGCAAAATATGCAAAACGGTGTGTGTGTGTGTGTATATATGTATATATGTATATATACGTACTTTACAAATTTAGAAAATTTTGTCATCATTTACTCACCCTCATGTTGTTCCAAACTTGTATAAATTTCTTTCTTCTTTTGAACACAAAAGAAGATATTTTGAAGAATGCTGGTAACCGAACAGTTGCTGGTAGCCATTGACTATCATAGTATGGAAGAAAACTATAGAAGTTATAGAAGTCCAGCAACTGTTTGGTTACCAGCATTCCACCAAAAAAAAGAAAACGCATGTAATGAGGCAGATGAGGCAGATAATATAAAACTGTTATAGATATAATTTTATTGCAAAATATGCAAAACAATGTGTGTGTGTGTGTGTACTAATGAGGGAATTACTTTGAGGGAAAGAACTGTAATCCCATGAAGCATTATGAATGACGTAATCAAAATAAAAACAACATAGAAATATAAAACTGTTATAGATATAATTTTATTGCAAAACAATGTGTGTGTGTGTGTACTAATGAGGGAATTACTTTGAGGGAAAGAACTGTAATCCCATGAAGCATTATGAATGACGTAATCAAAATAAAAACAACATAGAAATATAAAACTGTTATAGATATAATTTTATTGCAAAATATGCAAAACAATGTGTGTGTGTGTGTGTACTAATGAGGGAATTACTTTGAGGGAAAGAACTGTAATCCCATGAAGCATTATGAATGACGTAATCAAAATAAAAACAACATAGAAATATAAAACTGTTATAGATATAATTTTATTGCAAAACAATGTGTGTGTGTGTGTACTAATGAGGGAATTACTTTGAGGGAAAGAACTGTAATCCCATGAAGCATTATGAATGACGTAATCAAAATAAAAACAACATAGAAATATAAAACTGTTATAGATATAATTTTATTGCAAAATATGCAAAACAATGTGTGTGTGTGTGTGTACTAATGAGGGAATTACTTTGAGGGAAAGAACTGTAATCCCATGAAGCATTATGAATGACGTAATCAAAATAAAAACAACATAGAAATATAAAACTGTTATAGATATAATTTTATTGCAAAACAATGTGTGTGTGTGTGTACTAATGAGGGAATTACTTTGAGGGAAAGAACTGTAATCCCATGAAGCATTATGAATGACGTAATCAAAATAAAAACAACATAGAAATATAAAACTGTTATAGATATAATTTTATTGCAAAATATGCAAAACAATGTGTGTGTGTGTGTGTACTAATGAGGGAATTACTTTGAGGGAAAGAACTGTAATCCCATGAAGCATTATGAATGACGTAATCAAAATAAAAACAACATAGAAATATAAAACTGTTATAGATATAATTTTATTGCAAAACAATGTGTGTGTGTGTGTACTAATGAGGGAATTACTTTGAGGGAAAGAACTGTAATCCCATGAAGCATTATGAATGACGTAATCAAAATAAAAACAACATAGAAATATAAAACTGTTATAGATATAATTTTATTGCAAAATATGCAAAACAATGTGTGTGTGTGTGTGTACTAATGAGGGAATTACTTTGAGGGAAAGAACTGTAATCCCATGAAGCATTATGAATGACGTAATCAAAATAAAAACAACATAGAAATATAAAACTGTTATAGATATAATTTTATTGCAAAACAATGTGTGTGTGTGTGTACTAATGAGGGAATTACTTTGAGGGAAAGAACTGTAATCCCATGAAGCATTATGAATGACGTAATCAAAATAAAAACAACATAGAAATATAAAACTGTTATAGATATAATTTTATTGCAAAATATGCAAAACAATGTGTGTGTGTGTGTGTACTAATGAGGGAATTACTTTGAGGGAAAGAACTGTAATCCCATGAAGCATTATGAATGACGTAATCAAAATAAAAACAACATAGAAATATAAAACTGTTATAGATATAATTTTATTGCAAAACAATGTGTGTGTGTGTGTACTAATGAGGGAATTACTTTGAGGGAAAGAACTGTAATCCCATGAAGCATTATGAATGACGTAATCAAAATAAAAACAACATAGAAATATAAAACTGTTATAGATATAATTTTATTGCAAAATATGCAAAACAATGTGTGTGTGTGTGTGTACTAATGAGGGAATTACTTTGAGGGAAAGAACTGTAATCCCATGAAGCATTATGAATGACGTAATCAAAATAAAAACAACATAGAAATATAAAACTGTTATAGATATAATTTTATTGCAAAACAATGTGTGTGTGTGTGTACTAATGAGGGAATTACTTTGAGGGAAAGAACTGTAATCCCATGAAGCATTATGAATGACGTAATCAAAATAAAAACAACATAGAAATATAAAACTGTTATAGATATAATTTTATTGCAAAATATGCAAAACAATGTGTGTGTGTGTGTGTACTAATGAGGGAATTACTTTGAGGGAAAGAACTGTAATCCCATGAAGCATTATGAATGACGTAATCAAAATAAAAACAACATAGAAATATAAAACTGTTATAGATATAATTTTATTGCAAAACAATGTGTGTGTGTGTGTACTAATGAGGGAATTACTTTGAGGGAAAGAACTGTAATCCCATGAAGCATTATGAATGACGTAATCAAAATAAAAACAACATAGAAATATAAAACTGTTATAGATATAATTTTATTGCAAAATATGCAAAACAATGTGTGTGTGTGTGTGTACTAATGAGGGAATTACTTTGAGGGAAAGAACTGTAATCCCATGAAGCATTATGAATGACGTAATCAAAATAAAAACAACATAGAAATATAAAACTGTTATAGATATAATTTTATTGCAAAACAATGTGTGTGTGTGTGTACTAATGAGGGAATTACTTTGAGGGAAAGAACTGTAATCCCATGAAGCATTATGAATGACGTAATCAAAATAAAAACAACATAGAAATATAAAACTGTTATAGATATAATTTTATTGCAAAATATGCAAAACAATGTGTGTGTGTGTGTGTACTAATGAGGGAATTACTTTGAGGGAAAGAACTGTAATCCCATGAAGCATTATGAATGACGTAATCAAAATAAAAACAACATAGAAATATAAAACTGTTATAGATATAATTTTATTGCAAAACAATGTGTGTGTGTGTGTACTAATGAGGGAATTACTTTGAGGGAAAGAACTGTAATCCCATGAAGCATTATGAATGACGTAATCAAAATAAAAACAACATAGAAATATAAAACTGTTATAGATATAATTTTATTGCAAAATATGCAAAACAATGTGTGTGTGTGTGTGTACTAATGAGGGAATTACTTTGAGGGAAAGAACTGTAATCCCATGAAGCATTATGAATGACGTAATCAAAATAAAAACAACATAGAAATATAAAACTGTTATAGATATAATTTTATTGCAAAACAATGTGTGTGTGTGTGTACTAATGAGGGAATTACTTTGAGGGAAAGAACTGTAATCCCATGAAGCATTATGAATGACGTAATCAAAATAAAAACAACATAGAAATATAAAACTGTTATAGATATAATTTTATTGCAAAATATGCAAAACAATGTGTGTGTGTGTGTGTACTAATGAGGGAATTACTTTGAGGGAAAGAACTGTAATCCCATGAAGCATTATGAATGACGTAATCAAAATAAAAACAACATAGAAATATAAAACTGTTATAGATATAATTTTATTGCAAAACAATGTGTGTGTGTGTGTACTAATGAGGGAATTACTTTGAGGGAAAGAACTGTAATCCCATGAAGCATTATGAATGACGTAATCAAAATAAAAACAACAGAGAAATATAAAACTGTTATAGATATAATTTTATTGCAAAATATGCAAAACGGTGTGTGTGTGTATGTATATATGTATATATACGTACTTTACAAATTTAGAAAATTTTGTCATCATTTACTCACCCTCATGTTGTTCCAAACTTGTATAAATGTCTTTCTTCTTTTGAACACAAAAGAAGATATTTTGAAGAATGCTGGTAACCGAACAGTTGCTGGTAGCCATTGACTATCATAGTATGGAAGAAAACTATAGAAGTCAATGGCTACCAGCAACTGTTTGGTTACCAGCATTCCACCAAAAAAAAGAAAACGCATGTAATGAGGCAGAGTAATCCCATGAAGCATTATGAATGACGTAATCAAAATAAAAACAACAGAGAAATATAAAACTGTTATAGATATAATTTTATTGCAAAATATGCAAAACGGTGTGTGTGTGTGTGTATATATGTATATATGTATATATACGTACTTTACAAATTTAGAAAATTTTGTCATCATTTACTCAACCTCATGTTGTTCCAAACTTGTATAAATTTCTTTCTTCTTTTGAACACAAAAGAAGATATTTTGAAGAATGCTGGTAACCGAACAGTTGCTGGTAGCCATTGACTATCATAGTATGGAAGAAAACTATAGAAGTCAATGGCTACCAGCAACTGTTTGGTTACCAGCATTCCACCAAAAAAAAGAAAACGCATGTAATGAGGCAGATCTGTCTGGTCATCCTGCAGGTGTACCGGTGGTACCTGGAACAGACGCTCCCATCTCGTCTTTGCAGGAAGCTCAAGAGTTTTCAAACAGCTATGGCTTCCCGATTATCTTCAAGGCTGCCTATGGGGGCGGAGGACGTGGAATGCGAGTGGTCAGGGAGTATGAGGTACTATGTCCGAGAGTCAAATTATTTGTACGGGATTGGAACGCATTTAATCTTTGCTCTGTTCCTTCTGAGAGCCAGTTGTGAGCTTTGACACTGGAGGACTTTTAAATGAACGCAAATGTGTGTGCACTTTAGTTTTGTTTGCTCTTGAGTTACTTGTGCTGTATGAATTGGTGTGCTGGCTATTTGCACTGGCTGACTCTATGACTTCGTGTGTGATCAGGAACTAGATGAGAACTATCAGCGTGCATACTCCGAGGCCCTGGCAGCCTTTGGCAATGGAGCTCTGTTTGTGGAAAAGTTCATTGAGAAACCCAGACACATCGAGGTGCAGATCTTGGGTAAGTGAACTGCAGATCAAGTATTCTAATAGTAAAGGAATGGTTCAACCAGAAATAAACATCGTCATCATATACTCACCCTCATTACATTCCAAACCTGTATTATATTCTGTCTGTGGAACACAAAAGGAAAACCGTTGCTCTTTATTCTGACGTGTTTAAATGTCAAAAGGACACAAAAGCACCATAAAAGTGGCCAACATGACTTGTTTGCTACAGTCGTTTGAAGCCGTGTTGTAGCTTAGTGTGAGGACAGACTGAAATTTAAGTCATTATTCACTTATAATCTTCCCCTTTTAGTTGGCTGTTAAACACTGACTGGATCATTGAGTCAGTAGATCTGTTTACATGCACTCATTTTTGTCAATCTGAATGAATCCAATCAGGTTTTTGGGCATTCGCAGTGCCAAGTTGCCATGTTCAAGTCAGCAAAGCTTTTTTTTTTTAAACATGAAATATTAAAAACATGGCTAAAATTTTCCTGTCAAACACCTTATTAAAGATCTACACTACTCAAGTTCATATTGAGCTCAGTCAAATTAAATAATGTGTTTAAGGCTTTTCAGTCTGATTGAGCTATCAACCCGTTTACAAATGGATTATTAATTTGCATGTAAACAATGCTGGTAGGTTTACCTGATCAGTCCAAGCTATGAATAAATCATTTAGAAATGTGTGGAAAAGATCCAACTTAAATGATTTGTTTATGAACCACTTTGTTTCTCACGAATCAACTAATTGTGTATAAATTGATACTTTTCTCATGGACAAACCATGGAAGCAAAGGTGTGAATGTCAAGATTTCCAATGAATAATATTTCTCAAAGCTTCAGAAGAAATAATATAGCAATAACGCAAGTCAAATATACAATTTTTATAATAAATTTATGATGCTTTTGCAGCTTGAAAGCTTCGGTCCTCATTTATTGTAATTGAATGTAAAAGAGCAACAAGTACTCTTTCAAATTTCTCCTTTTGTGTCCCATGGAAAGAAAGTCACTCAGGTTTGGAAAGACATAAGGATGAGTAAGAGTTTTACTTCAAATCTGTTCCCAGACATTGTTGCTGAAAAAAACGCTCAAAACCTTCAACAGTAAATTAGATTTTTGCCGGAAATAAATACATTGTCTGGTAGTTAATTAAAACATTTGGATATTTGCATAGAGCACACTGTTCTCAACAATGAACAGAGTGGTGCAGTTCTCTGTTGCCTGCTAATTTGCGTACTGTTTATTGATCAGTTATATGATTGTGTTTGTTACTATATTTTGGAGGAATACTAGCAGATGGGTTTGTTTACAGTGGCAGATGGGTTTAAGACTTCTGTGTAACGCTCAATGAGTTGATCTGTCCATTGTGTGTAGGCGATAAATACGGCAATGTCATTCACTTGTACGAGAGGGACTGCTCTATCCAGAGGAGACACCAGAAGGTGGTGGAGATCGCACCGGCCACACAGCTGGACCCACACCTCAGAGACAGACTCACTGCTGACTCCGTGAACCTCGCTCGACAGGTACAAGTGAAAACATCTGACAGATGGCAGCATTGGCTTTTTTCCAAACCGTATGCAAATGCTGATTTACAAAAGTTTATGGTTCGAAAAGAATGTATGGATAAACTACTGCTCAAACATTGAGTTTTAAATGGATGTTCTGAGTGAAATTACTTAATCTGAATAATTTAATATTACCACAGAATCTCACTGACTAGCACTCATTTTTACACTCGTTTTTGTCATTTTAGACATCCTTTAAATTTAGTAAATATTTTGTCTTGTCATTTTACTCATTTTACTCAATTTATTGTCCTGAAAGAACTAATTTTAGTCGACAAAAATAATATTTTAGTTTAAAGTGCAAAATTAAACTAAATAGTAGGGATGTAACGATTCACTCAACTCACGATTCGATTCACGATTTTGATTTCACGATTCGATTCGATTCACTTTTTTTTTTTTACAATGAAATTTAAGACAAATTATAAATTAAATGTGTCCTTTTATTATTGCTTGGACAAAATACTGTACGTTTCTTTGTGAAATTGAAATATAACACTATAATAATATACTAATATAGCACTTGCATATTCTTGCTCTTTTGTTGGTTTTGATTGCTTCTATTGTCCTCATTTGTAAGTCTCTTTGGATAAAAGCGTTTGCTAAATAACAAAATTTAAATATAATGTAAATGTAAATAACAAAACTAAATTAACATTTTAAAACAAGCCCCAAATCAA